GGGGGGGGGGGGGGGGGGGGGTGTGTGTTTGGTGGGTGGGGAAGGGGAGAGGGGGGGGGATCTGCATTTTAAGCGGCCAGGAGGGGATTCCTCCGTGATACCTCGATTGTCGTCTCCCCACCCACCCCAAGACGCCTAAGCACAGGTTTGGAAAACCCAGCTACGTAAAGCAACCCGGCCTGATTTTTCTTTGCTGTTTCCTGCGGAGCATCAGTTACTCGAAGTCTCTGATGGAGAAACCTGTTTTCTTCGCGCGGCTGCACCGAGGCTGAGCGGCGCGCGGTGGGCTGGGCTGGGGCCGGTAAGCGAGTCGCCCCTCCGCACGCTGCAGACGAGGAGCGCTGAAGTGATTCAGCGTTAAGCCGAGGCGCGGTTGTGGCTGCTGGCGACCGAGTGGCGGAGATGAATGGGGACCGGGGGTGGGATGCAGAATGGCGCGAAGAGCCCTTGGCAACACGACGGGGTGTGTGTGTCTGGGTGTGTGCGCGCGCGTGCAACCGGCTTCCTTTGTGTAACAAACATCTCCCGGGCAGCCAAGCTGTTCGCTTATTGACTGAAAAAACACCGGAGTGCAGGCGCGCTAGGGAAAACTAAGAAAAAAAAGGGGGGGATTGACCTAGTCCGACTGTCGCATCTCTGCCCCCCTCCCATTCTTCAGCGCGAGGGTTCTGCCTACGCTTAACGGACTGCACTCTGCCCATGCTCGACGCCGCCTTCCTGTTAGTTCTGCCGCTTCGCGCGGTCCAGCGGCGCCAAAGGGGGAGCGTCACCGGGGCTTGTCTTGAAATCCTCGGGGCTCCTTCTGCAGATTCGGGGTCCTGTCCGGGGGAGAAGAGGGGGGGGCAAGAGACGCCCCGCGTGCTGTGCTCCAGAAATCAGATTACTGTATTGCCAAGTCAGGGAGGTGCCGCCAAGGGTGATGTGCAAAAATCAAATCTGCGCAAGTAAGGGCCCCTGTCTAAAATCGAGAAGGAGCCGGACAGGAGGGGAAAAAACCCGACACCTTTCCGAGAGAAGGAGGTGTTATTCGGGCTGCGTTCACACAACACGCTTAACTCGGTCAGGTGCAAACCTCTCGGCCCGCTATCCTCGAGTGGGCGGGGTGGGGAGGGCGGCTTAGCTCTGGAGGGCCGCCAGCCCGCAGGCTTCGTTTCCGCTCCGTGTCTCGTGCGAAGCCGAACAATGGGTGAAGTCAGCCACCGGGTTGTGCGAAGGCTGCTTTTCTGTACCACAGACTTCCCTTCCTCCTTCGGGGGCTGCGGCGCAGCTGTCTTCGGGAGCGACTAACGGAGGCGCGCCTGCAGCGGTGTGTTTGTGTGTGCGTGTTGTGGCGTAATTGGATTGCGAGCGGGGAGAAGCGTCGCGCTTGAGCGGAGGGGCGCGCGCGCCCGCTGCCCGGGGTTACCTTCGGTCATCCTTGCACCCTCACGCGCAAACGCACGTCCGCACCCACCCCCGCCCTCCTCTAGGGAAGCCGCCCGCTCGCTAGCCCGCCCGCCCGCCGGCCGCCGCCGCTCTGGGGAGACGGGCTTTCTTCCCACGCTGCTTAACAACGTGGGAGCAGCCGGAGCCTCCCGCGCCCCCCGCCGGCGCTCCTCCTGAGCTAAGCGTTGGCTTGGCTGCAGCCGCGCTACGGAGGGGAACCAGCAGGCCAGAGGGAACCGGAGCGCTCCGAGGAAGACGGGAGGCGGGGGTTAATCCCCGGGTAGGCCGCAGAACAAAGTGGCATTGAGGCGATTGCAGCCCTCGGGGGTTGAATGCGCCGCCCAGACGCTCATTGGTTGCCTTCGCACAACATTCGGGCCCTGGTGACTGGGTTAACCCTCTCTGGGCGTGTAGGGCCCAGTCAGTCAGAACCCAACCCACGGAGCAGGAAGTCATCCAAAACCTAGCCGAGGTTACTTCGTGTGAATGTGACAGCCAGGGTTACAACTAACCTGGCTCAATGTGTGCAGGAATTGGTGGTTCAAAGAGCTGCTGCCAGGCACTGGGTTGTCTGAACTATGCCTCTCCTTCTGAGTTTATAACCTGGCTAACAACTGTCCTCTTTGGTTGGAGGTCATTCTTCAGGCCAGGGACTGGCCCGCCTCCTTGCCCATTGATTTAAGCAGGGAGGGTGACCACAATCTCCTCAGGGGTCAAAAACACACCTCTCACCACACCCTGGGAGAGGTCAGCTCCGGGGGGCTGCAACTCACAGAAGCTCCTGCCTTTCAGTAAAATTTGTTCATCAGAAAAGGTGCTACCAGATCCCTGATTTTAAACTCTGGGCTGGGGATAAGATGAGGCGGCTATTGTGCAATGGGGGGAAACCCCTGGATGGCCGTTTTCTGGAACCAATGTTAATAGCGGTTGTGACATAAAACTCCTCTTTATGCAATGCTTTTCTTTATTCATTTGTTCCATATGCAGCCACCATCACAATGATTCTTGGCATTTACTTAAGCCAGTGTTGTCCAAACTTGGCCACTTTAAGATGAGTGGACTTCAACTCCCAGAATTCCCCA